CCTCCTCCTCCTGCCGATCTTCTTCGTCGTCCTGCTCCTTGGCCCGTGATACTGTCTGTCTGTCTGTCTGTCCAGTACCACGGGCGGAGGAGGAGGGGTAGGAGGAGGAGGAGGAGACAGACAGACAGACAGACAGACAGACAGACAGGCAGACAGACAGACAGACAGACAGTACGACGGGCGGAGGACAGACAGACAGACAGACAGGAGGGGGAGGACAGACAGACAGTACCACGGGAGGGGTAGGAGGAGGAGGAGGAGGGGTAGTAGTAGGAGGAGGACGAAGATCACGATTGGGAGGAGGAGGAGGAGATATGTGACTAAATACTGAATATATATATTATATATACATTATATATATGTGTAAAAAAAAAAAAAAAAACAAAAAAAAACGCGTACGCGTATGCGGGTTTTTGGGCACGTACGCGTACGCACCGCATACGCGTACGTGGTGCTACCCAGGTTCATAGCTCAATGTGGAATTTCTTCGCCACCATCATAGTCGTCCTAACTTCTTTCTCCACCTTCTCCATACTTATGGAGGTCCTCTTCTTCACCCTCTAACCTCCTTCTACCTCTGACTAGCTCTGCCTCATGATGGCGGCGAAGCACTCCCGTCCTCCAAGTCACCCTGGGTTTGCCCACATCTACACTCAGCCGACTGGTACTGGTCCTACTGGCTATCCATCGGGGACACTGGCAAAGGTATGTCTACCAGGTACCAAACATATCTGCCATAGTCCTGGTCTAAGTTCAGCCAGCCCAGTACCATTCTTACACCTATAGACCTAGCCTACTGGACTCCCAGCCCCGCTACGGTGCTGGAAAGTCCCCACCAGGACCTCACCAGGTCCCCACTGTTTACCTACCTGTGCCTGTCTGACCTAATATTTCCTCTTTTTTTTTTTTTTTTTTTTTTTCTTCTTCTAAGTCTTACTAGTGCTACATTTCAGTCCTGTCACAAGGGATAGACTTGGGAGTTATCAGGTTTGCATTCAACCATTCAACAAGAAGTCAAAACCACCAGACACAGAAATCTCAGCAAAACAGATCACAGAATCCTCGAGATGAAACCGTGAGGGTGATTCCGAGGGCACATTCTCACACTCGCACTCCCAAGAGCTAATCTGGGTGTAATATCGGTCCAATATTTGCAGCAAAATCCTCAGTAGGAGTACCCTCGTAGATACTGACCACCTTCCAGTGATGTTCAACAAGTCTAATGATTTCTTTTCCCCTGGCAAAGAGGGAAACCTGGGAAAGGGACATAAACTGTTTTTTTTTTTTTATATATATAATGAAAAAAGAAGAAATAGAAAACAAAAAACACAGAGCCCCTTTCTAATGGTGGGGAGCAGCACCTGCTGGAAATGGGTTCCAGCGTCCCTGATAAAACATTACTCACTCGCACTTCTTCCCCACGTTGCGGACGGGGGAGCCGTGACAGCATTGATTGCTTCCAACGGGAAGGCTTCACTGTCAGTCAAACCCAGTCCTTGACAACCCTTTTTCTTTTTTTTAATGTCCTTTTTTAAAGTTTTTTAAAGGTTTTTTTTTTTTTTTTTTTTTTTTTTTTTGTTGAAGTCCTGCTCTTATCCCTTCCCCCTTTTCAAAGAAACCTTCCAATGGGGGGATGAGAATATAGCTCCAGCAGATCATATCCCCTCATGGGTATGAAATTAAGAATATAGCCCTGAATGTAGCTCTTTTTCGAAGCAAGTCCATTTGCCCCTCACCAGGTCACATTTCAGAGCTATATTCTCACCCATGAAGGGATATGATCTGTTGCGACGGCTTCTTGCCTTCCCTATGCCAATAAGAATTATGATCCCGATGGACAACGTAGATATGCTTGCATTTTACAATGCAAAAACCTGTGGCATGTTCAGCTACTACTCCTTTGCGGCTCCCCTGGCGGGCCTGAGTCGTATTATACACTTCGTATTATACACTTATTATTGTGGTCTTACGTTATCAACTAAATACAAACTTAGGTCTCTTGAGATTTAAAAAAAAAAAAAAAAAAAAAAAAAAAAGTGTATCGGTTGGGCAAGGATCTCAAGTGCCCAGAAACGGGTACAACGCTCTATAAACCTAGCAATTATCATCGATCGATCTTCTTCGAGAAAGAGAGGAACGGAAAACGTGTTTTAAAAACAGTGTATCGGTTGGGCAAGGATCTCAAGTGCCCAGAAACGGTTACAACGCTCTATAAACCTAGCAATTATCATCGATCGATCTTCTTTGTGAAAGAGAGAAACGGAACGACGTGTTTTTAAAAACAATGTATCGGTTGGGCAAGGATCTCAAGTGCCCAGAAACGGGTACAACGCTCTATAAACCTAGCAATTATCATCGATCGATCTTCTTCGAGAAAGAGAGGAACGGAACGACGTGTTTTCCTTTGACCGATGAATGATTGTGGGATTATAATTGGGTGATGTCTGGTGTGGAAGCAGGTTTTGGGAATCTTGATGAGCAATGCAGTAAAATACACAAATCAAGGTCACGTGTTTGTCTGTGCACGTACGGAGATAAAGGATTTGGATCGGATGGGGAGTTCAGAGAATGAAGACGATTTTGAAGACGAAGCAACGGCGGATGATCCCAGCAGCAGCTCTGGAAAAGAGAAATCACGAAGGCACAGGAAATCGTCAGTTTTGAGATCCATCAGGCAGCGAGGTCGGGCGCATTCCGCCCAAGATGTCTTGGAGATGGTTTCTCACAAAGAACTTGTGCGAGAAGCACGAAGATACTCTGAAAGGGTTCCCCGAAGACATTCGACGATCGCTAAACTTGAACCAGCCGCCGCAGAAAAGGGGCCCGCGGAAAATAAACCGCTTGGTGTTGTGAAAGAGGACGATAACGATTCCGAGGACGATGGAGGAGGAGAAGGGACTTCAATGACCTTGAGCAGAAAAAGAGTCCCCTTAAGCATTAGCAGCTGGTGCAACATAGAACCATACGTCACGCCAGGGTCGCTTACCTATGCAGCGAAACCTGGCTCAGCCAAGAGGGGTTTGATGTGGGTTATCATCTCTGTAGAGGTAGGGGCCCCCCTTCATGCAGACCCTAAAAAGAAACAAAAAAAAAAAAAAAAATACAACGGTGAATGTCCAATGTCCATCGTGTTTTGTTGATGATTTGGATTACGATTTACTTGACACTTTTTCACTTCAGGATCTAGGAAACTACCATCTTCCTCCCACGCAACACACCTTCATCATAACTGTATCGGATCGAAAAGATAAATTCTATGCCCGCTGTGCGGAGCTATGAACCATATTGTGGAAGCACCCGTCAACCAACGGGGAAGTACCCCGTGTGTGTCGCTCGGGCTAAGTACCGATGGAAGGGTCTTGTGCGGTGGAGTGAAGTATGCGAGAATTGCTGCGTTCGTGTGATGTGTCCGTGTGGTGTTGTGTGTGGTGTGGGTTTGTGTTGGACACTACAGCCTTGCAGGGGTGGGGTGGATATCACGACCGGTATGGTTCCACTTTTGAAGTTTGAACACCGTGTCCTGGCTGTAGTGGATAAGATACTTGGCTCCTAAGGCCGAGGTCGCCGGTTCGGATCCCTGCTTGCATGGAGGAGGACTTTGGCCCGCTGTGCGGATCTATGAATCATATGTATCCGTCCATGATCAGGGCGTGTTGTGTTCAAGGAAGACAGTAGCACCAGTCATTTCTCCCTGCGGCCTGGACCTGCGCGCAAACCGAGTGTATAACCTGAATCTTCTTCTTCTTCTTCTTCTTCTTCTTCTTCTTCTTCTTCTTCTTCTTCTTCTTCTTCTTCTTCTTACTTCTTCTTCTTTCTTGGTGCCATGAAACCACCTTCTTCTTCTTCTTCTTCTTCTTCTCCTGTTCCTACTTCTCCTTCTCCTCTTCCTCCCCCTCCTCCTTCTCTGCTTTTTCTTCTTTACTTCCTCTTCTTCCTCCTCCTCCTCCTCCTCCTCCACTCCTCGACCACGCCGTTCATTGCCTCCTCCCCCTCCTCATTATTGTTGTTGTTGCTGCTATTGTTGTTTTTCATGATGATGATGATGATGAATAAGCGTAGCAGCAATGACATCCAAGAACTGCAACGGTTCGGCCATACGTGGAAAGGAGTTGCATACTCGTGGGTGATAGATTTCAGAATTGTTGATAGCACATGGTTTCAATGACATCCAAAAACTGCAACGGTTCGGCCATACGTGTCTCGATCAGCTTTGAGGCTTGGCATTAGGTTGAGGCCCTACCGTCCGTCCAAATCAGTACCTTGCAACATTAAAAAAAAAAGAGCCACCTAATGAAGAACCAATTGGCTGTGGTTGCAGTGTCTATCCCAATTTCATTTCGGTTAGAGTCTTTTAGAGAAATTTGGAGTGGCAACCATCATTGTAAATTTTGTAGCCTTACTCTTTTTTCCCTGGAAGACCCTTGACTACCAGCTTCACCCGAATAGAACGCCCGGTAATTATTGTCGTATCTGGACTGAAAGTTGCACCAAATACGGCTATAATGACAGGGCGTTCTATTCGGGTGAAGACAGTAGGCAGAGTCTTGTTTGACGGAAAAGACGTGAACGCCCTACCATCTTCCCATCTCCCCACGGACCCTGATCGTGAATGTATACAAGCTATCTTTCCGGTCGGATACGGTCATGATGAGGGCGCATTGCATTTGGAGCAAGACGGTAGGCAATTGGGCAGTTTCCAACAGTGAATGAAGGACGCGCCCTAAGGCTGTCCTCAAACCACCGTCTTCACTCGAGCAGAACACTCTGTTGTTATTGCCGTATGCCGTATCTGGACTGAAACTTTTACCAAATACCGCTATAGTGACCAGGCGTTCTATTTGGGTGAAGACGGTAGGGCTTTCGGGACTTAATGTAACTGTCATGGTAAGCCAGATACATCCCAGGAAAGTCTTAGCGCGAGTATGCCTAAAGGTCCTAGGTCCCAGTATAAATCCCAGGTCCCAGTATAGCCTGAAAGGTTGGAAGTGTGGTGCCGCAGGACCACCGATTGGGACAGTTCCAGATGACAATGACCAGATTCTGAAGAACCTGGCTGTTGGGGCTTCTGCATCTGCCTGGTCTGTCACCATCTTTTTTCTCTACTCTTACTAAAGCGTAAGCCGGGTCTCGCGTGACGCCCCCGCGAGGCCCGGCTTACAGTGTTGGGAAAGCACTTGGGACAAGGGACGCGGGCCCATCAGAAACGGTCACGGCTGGCTTCGGCGCATGTTCGAATACAAGGACATAGCAGGCAGGCGCGGTGCTGGAAGTGATCTGTCGAAGCCTCTTCCCTCTACTCTGTATCTGTCCATATTTTAGCGGAATTCGAAAACAAGGACATAGCAGGCAGGCGCGGTGCTGGAAGTGATCTGTCGAAGTCTCTTCCCTCTACTCTGTATCTGTCCATATTTTAGCGGAATATTCGCTCTCCGTTTGCACAATTGTGGTGAGCAGAAGTAGTTTCCTTTTTTTTTTCGTCGTTTTCCTTTTAGATTCGTTTTTCCTTTTTCGTCTTTTTCCTGCGAGCGTGGGAGATCCAGTGGAGGGCCGTGTAGATTCGTTTTTTTTTGGGGGGGGGTCTTTTTCTGATGTCATCCCACAGCAAGCAGGCCTCACGTCTTGCTCAAAAGACAGAAAATTGGTCTCCCTCCACTACTATCTGCTGTACGCAATTTCGTATAGCGGCCGTATAGCTCTGTCAGAGCTAAAAAGAACGTATAAAACCTGGCGTCGCTCCACTTACTATCTGCTATACGAGTCTCCATTTCCTGATTTCACTATAAAACACCCTTACAGCACTACAAGACAGCAATTTGTCGGCCCAAACTCCAGGTGCTCCATACGATTTCGCTGTAGAACGCCGATCTCCTTTGACCACCCGCCGAGTAACGACTTTTGCCGGCTCGGAACTATACGGGATCGTATGGTGAATTTGGAGGGTGAAAAAAAAAAAAAAAAGAATTTGGAGGGCGCCATGATGACGCCGCCATCTGACAACTATACGGTGATTTTTTGCGAAGGTACATTTCAGATGCGAAGTGGAGCAGTGTCCCACTATCCGAAATCATTCAGCAGATAGTAGTGGAGCGAGACCCAATATGGCGGTGTATCTTTTGACCTTTTAGCAGAAGATTCAAGATTCATTTTAAATTTTTGCTCCACTACGCAAGACGCAGAAAAGACAAAAAATATGGCTGGGCATCTGCCCATGTTCTAGCAGAAGATTCGTTCTATTTTTTCCACGTTTGGTGAGTAGTGGAGGGAGGCCCAATCTCACAGTTGTACTCTTAGGCCTACTCTCCACTGCTCACAGGTGTACTCTAGCACCTCGCTCCCCTAATCAGTATGTAGTATGTGCACAAAAGACAAAACATATGGCCATGTATCTGCCCATGTTCTAGCAGAAGATTCATTCTCATTTTGCACATTTTGTGAGCAGTGAGCCAGGCCCTGAGTAGTTTTCTTTTTTAATAGGTGGTGTATGAGAATGAACTTTCTGCTAGAACATGGGCAGATACATGCATGTGGTGAGTTGTCAGAGCCCTGGCCTCCGCCATCTGAAAGCGCAGCTTCTTTTTTTTTTTTTTTTTTTTTTTTTTCAAACGCCCAGGTTGTGGTAGAGGCAGGGTATCAGGCACAGGACAACTCTCTGGAATGCAGCTACTCGAAGCTCGGAGTGACCACACAAGGTCCTCTGGACCTTTCCTAGACGGAGACCCCTAAGGGTTTACAACCCTAAATCCTATCGCAGGTCGTATCCCGTCCACATCTGCCAGCTTGCCGCTACGAGATCGGGTTCTGCCAGCAGGTGTTGCTCCCCACCAATAGAACATAGCCTCGAAAAAAGGGGAAAAAAAAAAAGAAAAAAAAAAGAGATCGGCTTCTGCCCCAGCAGCTCCAATCTCAACTGGGTGTATTGCGGGCCTACTATATGCAGCTTTGTCCCACACCCATTGACCGGCAGATCCCTGGCCAATCCCTGGCCAATCCCCCCTTGGACGGGTGTAGAGGGCCCTTCCCTCCCTCCTACTAATGTACAGTACCCTACAGTCTTCCCCCGAATACAACGCACGGTCATTATAGCTGTATTTGATGCATCTTTCAGTCTAGATACAGCTATAAATACCGTACGTTGTATTCGGGGGAAGACTGTAGTCCCTTCTATCCTACCCACTAATCGGGAGACAAGCCCAGTACAGCTCTAACCAAGCCATACTTTATCAGCATCCCCTTTACTACCGTCTTCACCCGAATAGAACACCCGGTCATTATCGCTGTATTTACACTTGAATGTGGCCCAAATACAGCTATAATGACCGGGCGTTCTATTCGGGTGAAGGCGGTAGTCCCACCTACTCTTCTCCGCGTCCCATAGCCTACCCTTGGATGGTCCCGATGGTCCCTGGGCCAACTCAGGACCCTGATGACGGGGCTATGAAGAACACCCCAATGTCTGTCTACATACTGCCTAGAGACGACCAGCCGGCTAGGTGGTCCTACTCCACGAGACAAGCATAACCGCCAGTGTTTTTTTTTTTTTAAGCCCCTCTTGGCCCCCGCCATGTCTGCGGCGGGCATCCTCTTGTTTTCTTAAAGAAAGCTGCAGTTTTATTATATGAACGATCAATGAGGACGGGAATTCCTCTACATCTCAACCCGGATATTGCTGGGCCCATTACCCAGGTTTGGCTTGTGCTGGAAACCGGGTCCAGCGCCCCAATATCGGTAACTTCGAAGCAAAAAAAAAAAAGGACAAATAAAGCACAAAGTTACAAACAGAAATAAGAGGAAAAATCTATGCTACGGTCACCCACGGAAGTTTAGCCAGTCTAATGTTTACCCTTAACCTTCTGCAGTATCCGCTTTCCCCCTCTTGAAACCCTACCATCTTCACCCGAATAGAACGCCCAGTCATTATAGCTATATTTGGCACAACTTTTGGTCCAGATGCAGCTATAATGACCAGGCGAAGACGGTAGGCATCTTTAAACTTATAAACCCTAAACCCTAAACCCTACCTCCTGCTGTGTCTTATCCGTTCTTCTTCTTTCAGTCAAAACTGAGATTCGGACTCTCACTTCAAAGAAAAAGAAGGAAAAAAAAAAAATCAGTCCTTGACTGCTCAAAGGTCTTCTGATTTCCAGCAGTTGTTCATGAATATCGTTGTTTTTGTTTTTTTTTTGCTTTTTTTGTTTTTTTTTTTAGAGCTTCCTACAGCAGCAACACTAGGGGAGGTGATAAAGACCCCACCTTCCCTAGTGGCCCTCCAGTAGAAGACTCCATCTATTGGTGGGGAGCTGCACCTGGTCTGGAGATCGGGTCCAGCGTCCCTCATCGTACATCTGATGGTGCTGGAGAACAGAAGCACTGTTGCCTGTAAACTGAGGGGATAGCACTTGGTGCCCATTGTCCATCCTCTACCTATCCTAGCAGTCTCAGCCAAAGCCGGGTAATTGCCCCGGTTATATCATCTGTTCAGGACTTTTGCTCAAGGGACACTGGGCCGGGTTCCCAGCACGTGTCGCTCCCGACGAATAAACCGGAGCATTGTCCCTAAAAAAAAAAAAAAAAAAAGTTTCCTTGAGTGCATGCCATCGTTACATTTGGCCCAGGGTATGTGGGCGGATCCCAGATGGCTGGACTTTCTGGATCTGAACTGTGTGGACGGTGGGTTTAGTGTCCCGATATGTCGGGGTCTTAAACTACCACCAGCACCTCCGAGCCTCTTTTGCCTGAGGAGGATTTTTGTACTGCACGGAGTGCACGCCAAAAAAGATATGAACCATGGTCGGTCAGGTGGTCAGTCGCTCGGTGGGTTGCTTGGTCTCCAGGTTGGTTGGTTGGTTGGCTGGTTGGCTGGTTGGCTGTTTGGCTGTTTGGTTGGTTGGTTGGTTGGTTGGTTGGTTGGTTGATCAGTTGGTCGGTTGGTCGGTCGCTCAGTCAGTCCGTCAGGCCGGTCGGGCGGGCTGGTCGGTCAGGTGGTCAGTCGTTCGGTGGGTTGTGCTGTCTCCAGGTCAGTCGACCTGTGAGTTGGTCGCTCATTGTGTCAAGTGGTCAGTCAGACGATCAGCCAGTTGGTCGGTTGGGTTGTTGGTCAGTCAATCAGTTGGTTGGTTGATTGGTCGGTCAGTCGGGTCAGGCTGGTCGAGCGGGCTGGTCGATCAGGCGGTCAGTCGCTTGGTGGGTTGTTCGGTCTCCAGGTCGGTCGCTCTGTGAATTGGTCGGTCAGTGGGTCAAGTGGTCAGTCAGACGGTCAGCCGGTTGGTTGGTTGGTTCGGTTGGTTCGGTTGGTAGATGTTATGAATTCATCATTTGATCCGTCAATTGGTCGACCAATTGGTTGATTGATTGGTCAGTCCATCCATCCATCAAACAATTAATCGATCGGTCAAGCGATCAGTCAATCGATCAGCCAATTGATGGTCGACACTTGGCGTCTGGTAACACAAAACCCGAGCATTTTGCCAGTAGCTGCGCCTCCCTTTTCTTCTTCCCACACCCCCACCAAGTAACAGCAGTGTCTAAGGCCGACACTCTACCACACACCACACACAACCCACTCACACACACTCTCACACACTCTCACACCCGTGTTGGTAAAGACCGTACTCGTACTGACCAGGGGGAAGCAAGACTGCTATCTTAGCTGGTTGGCACCAAGCGTGCACAAGGAAGTTAGTGGGGTTTGAACCCGCGACCTCCTGAATGACACTTACGTGCCTAACCAACTGAGCTAGGTCATTATTGCTGCACAGCAATTTATTATTATTATTATTATTATTATTATTATAATGAACAGCCCGTGCTGGTGGTAGGGGTGCTGTTAGGAGCAGACACCACTATCACTCTCGGAGAGGCTCCAGCTATTGGTGGGGAGCAAAAAAAAAGGTCCCAGCAAAAAAAAAAGGAAAAAAAAATACGTTATGCAGAAAAATAAACTGAACAACGTTTGCCTCAGGGTCACATGGAAATTATGTACAATTTTTTTTTTCTTTTCTTGGCACGGCCGGCAAGTGGTCCCGGGCCACTCTGGTAGCCTAGCTTGTTTCCTTAAACCACCAGTACTTGGCCCAGCTATCGGCCGCCGGAAAAAATAGAGTAGAAACGTTTCTAGTTGGATGAATTTGGGCGCTCCTGTAGTGGCCCGTACGTTTCCTAAAATCGCGTAGCATTAACGGGCACGACTTTAGGAAGTACTGGTGGTTTAAATCGAGAGTTCTTTTTTTGTCAAGGGTCTTACCGCTCATGAGATGCCCCCCACCCTTCCTCTCGTCAATTTGCTGTGGCGTACCTCCACGCCCCCATTCCCACCTCACTGACTACCACTCAGGACCATCAACCTTCTACCATCTTGGCGGGGTGACCTGACCGGACAGCGGTTGCGGGCGTCAGGGCTGCTGAACAGGAATTCCGCTCAGCCCTGGTTGAAGCAATTTTTTTGTTAGAACGAGCCCTGTTGTATGGGTATTGGCTGAAAAAGTCGAAAACAAAAGGAGAAGGAAAAAAAGGTCATGTGTCTGCCACCCTCTTCTCCTCCCCCCCCTTTGCCTACCAGAAAAAAAGGGTCATGCAGTTGTGATTTAGTTTCTTTTTCTTTTTTCCTTTTTTTTTTAAAACCAAGCAGCCACTTTCTATTGTTGGGGACAACACCTGCCGAGAGAACCGGCCTCAGCATCCTTGTGAACAGCACTGTAAGAACACTGACCCTTTCCCGCGTTACGGCCCGGGTACCCCCTGCTACCTTCTTCCCCCAAATAAGATACCGCAAATACAGCTATAATGACCGCGTATGTTGTATTCGGGCGAAGAAGGTAGCATTGATTGCTTCTCGTAAGAAGGATTGACTGGCAGTTAAGCTCATTCTTTTCAGACTGTCCCTGGCCCCTATCGTTTCTACGCAAATTCTACCCTTTAAAAAAACAAGCCCAAAAATCAGCCAGGGGTTGCCTTCTCATTCACAACTGCCTACTGTCAAAACTTTAACCGTTCAACCTGTGGCTAAACTTTAACCGTTCAACCTGTGGCTAAACTTTAACCGTTCAACCTGTGGCTAAACTTTAYCCGTTCAACCTGTGGCTAAACTTTAGCCGTTCAACCTGTGGCTAAACTTTAACCGTTCAACCTGTGGCTAAACTTTAACCGTTCAACTGTACCTCCTACAATGCTCTTGGACCGAGTTCACCCCCCCCGAGCTGAACTCATTGTTATTTATCCACTGTCGCTGGTCCACCACTTCAGTTTGCGTCAGTTTCCCATCCGAGGTCCCTACTTTTCCTCTTCTCCAAGTGTGTCCTTCACGAACGAATGTGGCTCTGATCTCCTGCTGCTTATCTGGCCGGCTCTTGAGTCGCCTTTTCAATTTTGCCAGTCTGTGATGCACTCAACTTTTTTGCAGCATTTGCCGGATTCCTTCCCACCCACGCTTTCCCAAACCGAACATAACTCTCTGGTTCTTTGTTTGCTTAGATTGCCAAGCCGAGTAAAGCCATTGCTGCTCTGAAGGCCTCAAACTGCTACTGTTGAACATGGCCCCAGCCTTGTGGAGAATTGTTTGTCACGTACTCCGAAACGTTCGGAGCCCGCGTGCTGTCGATAAAATTAAATCGGCAGCCGCCGTCGCGTTCGGCCTTCGAAAGAGGCCCGCGGCTGATGTATGGCATGTGCTGGTGCTTTAAGGTTTCCGTTGGTTTGCTGCAGGACACAGGAGTCGGGGTACCACCAGAGAGATTGGATGCTATCTTCCGCCCGTTCAGCCAAGAGTGCCGTCCATGGAATTTGCGGCGCCACGCAGGGATGGGAATGAGTCTTTCGGTCTCACACTCTCTGGTTAAGGCAATGGGTGGCGATATCAATTGCGTGACCATGCCAGGCATGGGTTCCGTGCTGCAAATGCGGCTTCCGTTCCGGGTCGCTGTGTCGAAGCGGTTCCAGTTGAGCAGACACAGTCAGGGAGGAAACGACGGGGATCACGGGGTGGCGGCAGCCGGCGGCATGGGATCCCGATATATGTTGATGCCAACGGACAGGTCAAATTTTTCATTGGTAGGCGCCAAAGTGCCGAATGCGCTCATGTCTGAGGTTTCTGAAGGCCGCGAGCTTCTCTGCGGAATGTGTGTGTGCTTGGTAGACGACAATGTGGTGCGGAGAAATGTCGTCCTCTACTTCTTGCGAAGACTTGGAGTGCGTTCCTTGCGTGTCAAAGACATGGAGCAGGTTCCTGTCGCATATGAGCACGCTTTGGCGCGTGAAGCGGGGAACAAGAATGCTCGGCCTGCACGGCCGTCTGCTGCCGCCGCCGCTTCAGCATCCTGCCCCAATACTCAACAATCCACTTCGCTTTTGGAAGGAATTTTCGTCGTTCTTGCCGACGGAGACTTCCTTCTGAGTAAGAATGCTTACGTTAGGAACTGGCGGAATTTCGTGTTGCTGCAGTTGAGGGTCAAGGTCGCGCTCCACGGTCGGCGAATGGAATCTGAGCACCTTCAGATGGCAGCGATGTGCTTGAACAAGGAGGTGCAGGGGATGGCTCAGAAGTCCGGATTCCAGAATTCAATCTTGAAACCGCTGACGACGAGGTCCTTGATGTTGTTCCTCGTGCACATTGTTTCGAATGCAAAAGGCGATCCCTTGGCAACCATAAGAGATGCTCTGATGGAAACAGGGAGAGCAGTAACACCCAGATCAGAGGGTGCCGGTACCTCAGCTGAACAGGGAGGCTTGCCGTCCGAGGGCGCGCAGCCTGTGGGAACCGCAATGAGGGAGCGGCGGGCCTCATTTGTTAGCGGAGTTAACAGTAGACGGTCTTCCTTTCTGGTGTCAGGCGTACCAAAACCAGGCAGCAAGGGTGGCATTCGCCGGCTGTCGGTTCCTGACAGAAGTTGGCCCATAGCTGAAGGGGACTCTGGCAGACGACCTTCCTACATGGACGGGCCAAGTTTCAAACGACCCGGCTCAGGCAGACGAGCTTCCAGTAGCGATGCAAGGAAAAGCTTCTTCACAGAGCTCATACGAGGCGGTTCCTTGTTGTCTCCGGATGCAAGCGTGGAATCTAACTTGAAGGTGATGAGGGGAATGAGAGTACTCGTGGTGAGTATTAAGGACTATTAACTTTTAAGTCGCAAAAAGATTGTAACTTGTAATAACGGAAGCAAGAAAACTTAGAAAAAGGCATCTTTGAAGAAAGGGGAAAACCTGGAAAAAGGGAAAAAAAAAAAAAGATAGACTCGAATTTCTCATCCCCCCCCCCTCAACTGACTAGTCCTTCCCAACGTGGAACCCACGAGCCTGCAACGACCTCCTCGCGCACCTAGCCTACCCCCTCCCCCTCCCCCTCCCCCTCCCCCTCCCCCTCTAATGCCAGGCCTTCGTCTTACCGCTCCAAACACTCACAAGTGCAAGCAACTGCTCCTACACCAAGCCGGCTCCCTGTCAAGAGAGCTCCCTTGTCTAGGCAACGAGGACGCTCCCCAACCAGCGACGACGGTACAGCACTGTCCTGGCGTGAATATTACCTGCCAACTACAGGGCTCAACCAACCCAAAGGATGCATTGATTGACATTTGAGCTCCCTGCTAGTTCCTAGTACCTACTGGAATAGACGAAAATCAAAGGAGAGAAACTGACCAGGCAAATCATGAAAGATGGGAAACAAGAAGTGGAAAAAAAAAAAAAAAAAACTGCCCAGGCAAATCATGAAAGATGGGAAAGAAGAAGTGGGGAAAGAAAAAAAAAGTGACCGCCTGGAGCTAACCCACGGAGAATTTTTTTTTGTTTTTTTTTTTTTGGAGGGGGGGGAGAATCAAATGCTCCAGTCTATTCGTGGGGAGCAACACGTGCTGGGAACCGGGCCCAGCGTCCCATATAGATATTATAGAATTATACAAGTCATTTGAAAGACACCGACGTGGTGTACGAGAATCTCCAATGTAAAAAAAAAAAAAAAAAGGGAGTGACCGCCTGGCGCTAACCATTTTTTTTTCCTTTTCTTGAGTGGAGCTTACCTCCACTCCACTGGAGAAAAGGAAATGGTTAGTGAAAATCGTACAAGAGCACAAAAACATCGAAAGATTTGAAACCAATCCCGACAACTTCTCGACTTCTGAACTTCTCAATCCGCAGCACAGCGTCAAGAGGAACACCATGATGGTTGTGTTCGTAGATGGTACCGTGTTCACCCGAATGAAACGACTGGTAATTATCGCTGCACCTGGACCGAAAGTTGTGCTAAATGCAGCTATAATATGACCGGGCGTTCTATTCGGGTGAAGACGGTAGTCATGCTGCTCACCTGCTGGACAAATGTGAATCTCTCAACTGAAATGGTTCTGGATGCACTCCGTCGCGGTGGAAACCTGAGACCGCCGAGGCGTCTGATCCGCCGCCAGTAACGACATAATGAACAAACGTTGCTGAGGGCCTGAGAGAGCAATTCTGGGTCCAGTTTGAGGCCATCCCTATTCGGGGGCAGAGCATCATAAAGGATAGAGACTGTAAGCAGAATATCCTGCAAACAGTTATCGACGAGGAGTCGACCATGGTCGTCCTGTCGACGAAGACCTCCCCAATCTGCTTCCGGTGCAAGGAAAGGGGACATCTTGTAACAGACCCAGAGTGTCCCTGCTCTTTTTTTTTTTTTTTTTTTTTTTTGAGGAAAAGAAACTAAAACAAACCCTGATTTAAAAAAACAGAAGAAATTCTGAAAAAGCAAAGGGTGTTTGCACTGTTTAGTTCATCTCAAATGACCCGGAGTACGACGGTTGGGTCTTTGATGACAACCTACCTCCTGAACCGGAGCGGAACTGAACGTACTCAGACAAAGAACCCTCGAGGGCCTCGACCAAAAAAGCGGATGTTTTTTCCCACAGATCTGACGGCAAATGGCATCGGATCAGAGCAAAGAGAGACATTGGTCACCGTGGATTTTTTTTATTTTTTTTTTTGCAGATTTAGGGTTATCGACTCCAGGATAATTAAATAAAGGAGAGAAGAAGCAAGAAGACCTAGACTCAAAAGAAGAAGCAAGAAGACCTAGACTCAAAATCAGACACCAAGCGGCCTCAACGTTCCATCAAAACACAGACAAGCCTGCATTACTGTCCACAGCCAGACTGATCATCGAAGGGCATAGCAGGCAACAAAACACACAGACAAGGCTGCATTACTGTCCATAGCCAGACTGATCATCGAAGAGCACATTAGGAAGACCCTGATATATTAAAAAAAAGAAAAAAGAAAAAAAAGAAAGAAAAAGCAAAGGGTGTGTGGTTACGAGACCTCCAGAGACTCCTCACCCGGGAAAGAAGAGGGTGAAGCACAAGCAGGTAAGAAAAAGCGGAGAGCAGAACCAGCTCTAGCCACAGACCCTAATCAGGCAACAAACCCTCCTCAAGACAAAGTTATGGGTCCGGAAGACAAACCAGACTCAGGCACAGATGGGGACAGCAAGCCTGAGAACCCGTGCAGCACTGCAATCTATGGAATGATTAGAGGCCCACCTCGAAAAAGCCAACTGATGAGAAAGAGAAGGAACTAAAAAAAAAAAAAAAAGAAGAAGAAGAAGAAGAAGAAAGAAAGAAAGAGAAGGAACTTGATAAGATACGTTGCCAGTACTATTGGTTTTCGTTTATGTGTATCCGGAACTCGACAAAAAAAACACTCTGCTCGTGAAATCAATGAAAGTGGGAAGCTGAAAGATCACTGTGGAAAAAGAAAGGCAGTGATCTTACGTTCTGTGCTTCGCACCATAACGCGACCTCTTGGAAGTGCCTATTGGAAACTGATACGAATTTGGATTTTAACGTGCTGGTGTTTTTTAACTGTAGGAATACTACTGGGAAGTTGGTGGGCTTGTCATGAGCTAGGTTGGGGCGGTTGGTGGGGATCTAAGAAAGTGTCTGATAATAAGGCTATACTCAACATCGCCCACTTCGTGGAGAAAGGGGCCTATATCCAGAAATATCTATCTATCCTAATCGTAAGTTGAGTTGGAGAGCCGTATGATAGGTGACTATCTCATACGGTTCGGAGAGGACTCGAATCAGAGTGGCCAGCATGAAGCAATTTTTGGAGCAGACCTGCAAACTGGGATCATTATTCCAAGGGCATGGTCGCAGGCATACTACCGTCTTCAACCCGGTAGAGCGACCCGGTCATTATAGCTGCATTTGGCACAATTTCAGTCCAGATGCAGCGATAATTAGTATTAATTACGGGGCGTTTTATTCGGGTGAAGACCGTAGCATCGTCCAATCCATTCAAAATTGTCAGGCAGAAAAGCGAGCTATCTGAGTTCAGTGGGTTCAGATATTTCGAGAAAAAAGACACAGAGAATCCTCTGCAATCAGACTTGCTTTCATTCACACTTTACATGCATGCAAACAGTAGCGCAGCAAACTGGCGACATGCGCCCACTCAAAACTCAGAGATATGGCAACCCAGATACGAGTTCACTTCCAATGGCTATGGCGATATAGCGCCCATACAACTCTCTGTTCGCATACAGTGGATCACCCTGGATATCCCACACGCGTCTTCTCTGAACACTCACACACACACACACTGAGCACTAACTACAGCTATGGCGGCTATGGCCGCCTCTACCCTATCGCTATGGCTAAACTCCGACTCTCTGCCCACTTCGTCTTCGGGCGTCACTGCAGACCTCCTTGCACAAGTCGCTGTGGCAGCGCTTCCGCATGGCTCACACAGGAATGAATGAATGGCTGGGCACTGCCTCTTGATTTATACTTCTGCAGCTCGTTGGTCTTCCCCTTTCCATCGGCCCATGGTGCACACAGTCCCTCACGGTACTTGCTGGACTGGACTGGGACTGACTGAACTGCACCGCTGATTGCTTGGAGACTCACTGCTAACCTACTGGGGTCGTACTGCAATCGTACTGCAGTTAGTCTACCACTTGGCTCACCACTTGCCCACTTGCCCACTTGCCGACCTTCTAGAAGACTACAGCTAAGACTTSTAGACTTCACTAAGACTACTATTCGACAGACCTACAGATCGAACCCCTACAACCTACGGACCTATGACAGCCTACCAGTTGCTTACGAGTACACAGGTCACGGGTTCAACCCTCGGGGTCTACACAGCTACTGTACACGGTAGGGTAAGGACTAGGGACCGAGCCCTGGGATCTGCATCTGCTACTGCAAAAAGGGAAAACCGTTTCACTCCGGGGTGGGACATCCTTCCTGAGGGAAGTAATCAATGCCGTCCACTTGGGCCTCTCGACCATAATGGGGAGGAGTGTTGGGTGCGTAGTACCGCGTACGTAATGTTTTTTCTTTTGACTTGCCGGTGGAATAGGAACTGGACTGATGCTTGGAAAAAAAATAAAAAATAAAAAAATTAAAAATGGATAATTATTAATTTCAAATTTGCAAAAAAATACCCCCATAAGTTGAGATATATGTCAAAATGCCCCTAAAAGATGTGGGTAGAGCGGAATACCCCTCTGACAAAAAAAATAGTTTGTGAAATGCCCCTAGCACCGGTTGGACCCCCATCTTTGCAATATACCCCTACCGGGTACCATCCAACTTTGCAAAATCCCCCAGTACTCGCTGGACTCCCATCTTTGAAATATACCCCTACCGGGTACCGTCCAACTTTGCAAAATGCCCCAGTACTTGCCAACTTTTCCCAGGCGCTATTGCAAAAGGCCAAGGCCCAAACAGGGAGGTCCAGATTGCGAAGTTGTACACCCGCCTGACAGGGGCACAAGACAAAGATTTCGGCCCAAAAGGGCATTCCGCTCTACCCACATCTTTCAGGGGCATTTTGGCATATATCTCAACTTATGGGGGTATTTTGCAAATTATCCCCCCCCCAAAAAAAGGAACTGGACTGTGTTCCCCAGAATGGACATGGAGCCGGAAACTCAACACGCGATTTTTTCTGCACATTTCCTCAAACACGTCCAGATGCAGGCATTGAGGAAACTCAATGCTGCTAATGGGACTTGACTCCTGGTATTGTAATTGTTACATTGCATTGTTCTCCTCCGTTTCTCCTCTTTTTCTCTTCCGTTTTTCCTCCTTTTCGCCGCCTTTTCTTCTCCTTTTCTTCCCCACATGAAACGGGCCTTCTCGCTGCAACGCAACGGTGATTGAATTTTGGACACATGAAATAAAATTAGAATTGTTAAAAAATATATAGATCATAATTGTTGATAAAATGTATTAAAAAGTTAATAAACTTTAAAAACTAATAAAAAGTTATTAAAAACATATTTGTTGTTTTTCTGGGTTGTGAATTTGGTCATTAGGTGGATGACATGTATACTGATCGGAAGGTTGCCGTCAAAGTTATGGAAAAGTATGGCATGTTGGCGGAGGCCGTTGACGCGGGTGCACTTGTGCTCAAGAGGCTGAGCCCTCCGCACGATGTCGACTTTGTCGTGATGGACCTCAAGGTGAGACTATGAAATCAAATTCCCCCTCATATCATACACCCAACCCCTCCTCCCTCCTTCCCTCCCCGCGCCTCCCGTCTCACACAGTCAACGGCCTTCAACAGGTATACCCATGCAAAAACATGAGCAGAGTCTGGTTGAAGTTGACCGCCCCGGCGCGGAAAGCCCTCTGACGGATATCCTCCCTGGGTCATAAGCCCCGACACCTCTACAACCCTTTTTGAAAAAAAAAAGAAGTTGCCCCGGATACTGGTAGGGTGATGGTCCTGAGTACCGGTCACACTGAGGGAGGGTGTACTCACACTACCGGTAGCAGTATCTCAAATGTATCTGACCACGGCCCTACCCGGATGTATCTCGCCGGATTTCTGTCCAAAATATGTAAAAAAGTTGTAGCGTGAGTATGCCCTGAGGTAGGACAGTAGGGATAGGGGGTGCGCTGGGAGTATGAACGTGGGGAAGGGTAGGGAAGATGGCCTGGTAGCAGTATCTCAAATGCATCTGACCACGGCCCTACCCGGATGTATCTGGCCGGAATTTCGTCCAAAATATGTAAAAAACTTTTAAAAAGTTGTGTTGTGAGTATGCCCTGAGGTAGGATAGTAGTGATAAGGGGTGTGCTGGGATTATGAACGTGGGGAAGCGTAGGGAAGGTGGCCTATCCTGTACGGACAACCATCGGCTGCCACTGCCAGCTATCACCGTGGGGCTAGTCCTTGGCCTCCTCTACAACACCCAGGATACTGAAGGATATTGAAAAAAAAAAAAAAAAAGGAGAAACATGCTTTCTTTCGAGAAAACAACCTAACATCTCTAAAATCTGTATCGGCCTAAGCTCAATGCCCAGCCGGGGATGCAGCCAAGCCGATCGCAAGGTTGCATCAACTACCATCTATCCATCTATCTGTATATCAGACTCTTTTATGTCGAAAAAGACCATTGAATCTCCTCTGGCCCCGTGCTGCAGCAGGACAATGTGCCAACACTCTCCGACCTTCTCATTTGCACAGCGACAAACACTGTTACACTCGGCTGTAGCCGCCATCGGCTCTGTCACAATCACCACGATGACATGGTTTCTGCGTCCATATGTGTAGAGGACTGTCCGTCCGTTCCTGACGGCAGGGACCTGTCCGCATTCAGACACTGTGTGTCCATTTTGCGGCCATGGCCATTATACAGAGTTGTTACGCGGGGATCCCCAGGGCATGAGCTGCGGTTGTTGATCTTTCCCCGGAACCCTGCACGGAAACCCCCATCCCCGGGCCCCTGGGGTTGCAAATTTCAGCTTTATTTTTTTTCGCTTGCCCCCACTCCCCATGAGGAATAACGCGGGGAACCACTTTTCGTTTTTTTGAAACCGGGACTCCGCGGGGCCAGAAAAAATTCCCAACCGACTCTGCCCCTGCGGACCCTGAGTAGGATAGGCTGGGCGCTGGGCACCAGACATTAAGTGCGACATTTTTGGATACAGGGAGTGGCGACATTGACACCTGAGTTCATTGTATTGCTCTTATTTGGACGGTATCTTGGTGCATTGCACTCTCTGCTTGGTTCATGACTATCTGAGCTACTTCGTGATTTTTGCAACTTGGATTTCTGTCTATTGCTCCCGCTCATATTCCTTGCAAAACGAAAAAAAAAAATTAAAAAAATAGTGGGGGGTGCACAACGACTGGTGTGCCATAAAAAGCCACAAGACAAAATTTCCCCCAGTTTATCTAGCCTATCTACGTTCTCGCAACTGGATCACTCTGAAGTCGTAGACCAATGTAAGTGACCTCAACACCAATGCCAACCACCTCATACACCAGGTATGTTCTCTCTCCTCCCCTTATCACCCCTTGGATCCCCTCTTCATGCGCCTTCTACCCGACGACCACGATCGCCATCACCTGCATGGCGCCCCTGCAGCCCGGCTATGGCTGCTGTGCGCCCGCTGCCTCGCAGCGCCCCTCTCACCTCAGCGCCCGTGCGCGTGCCCGACCCGCAGCGCCCATGCAGACACTAGCACAGCAACGCACCAGGGTGTCAGCATTGCCTGCCAGCGCCAGAAAGCCTCTCCCAGGAGCTCACACTTTCCTTTATGGAAAGTGGGTCGCTGCTGGCTGTCCTGCCCAGGCCTGTGGGGGGGCCAGTAGCTTCAGTTGGGCCCCAAGTGTCTGCGCCCAGGCCCAGTTTCCGAAGCTGGTCTGGGCCTCGTGCAGTCAGGCACGTCCAGGCAGCTACCCAGCCTCCAAGTGTTTGCAGCATTCTCATTGGCGCGCAGCACATGTGTGACAACAATGCTGCTTCCTCATTGGCCCGTAACCAGTCCGTGATGTGTCGGCCTCACACAGCGTGTGCCCAGGGCGCAACCGCCTGAGCCCTGGGCTCAACTGTACAGCGCAGCCCCTTGCTTCTGGAAAGAGCCTGGAGGCTCACGTTGTTCTGTAACCAACTGGCGTGCTGCAACTGTCTGAGTACCCACATATGGAAACATTGTCGACAACAGGTCTTGCGTGGATATGCAGGCCCGCCTTCACTTAGGGCAGGGATGAGGCTTGCTGGGGGCCACAGCCCAGAACACTTGTATGTCTGATAAGGGCTCCGTGAGGGTCATTCCTGGCAGTTTTTTGTTTGTTTTGGTGTGGGGGTGGGTCCGGAGCCAGGGCTGGGGGTGCCCACCACCGGACCTCTAGAACCCCTACTGTGATGTGCCCAACAATCACCTATACCCCATCTCCCCCATGCACACTGCTTTAACCCATTGTTTATACCACTTCCAGTTTTCATCTGCTAATTCAAAGGTAACACAAAGCTAAAAACCTATAACAAACCTACAACACCACAAAGTTATGAACCTACAAAACTACCCACACTGTCTGTACTGCCTGTTCTACCTGTACTACGTGTACTGCCTGTACTAAGGAAAGAGAGAAAATAAAAAAATCAAATTGTAGCAATGCAGTCAAAGAAAGAAGGATGAAAATATCAACTCTACTCTGGCGGTTGTTGTTGCCGTTCCTGGACTCAAATCCTTGCCAATGTTGTAGAAATTTTCGCAAAGGTTTCGACACATATCCCTTGTTCTGCACTTTCATGGACCATTCTGTGGCAATCATCTGTTTGATGGAGAATTTTACTTCCGCACGAATCATAGGCGAAGTCAGTCTTTCACCCCTCCTAACTGCAGAATTCTGCAATGTCCACAAAGTCCAAAGGATAGCTCCTCTCAGGCTTTCCTCAGGGCATGTCAGGGGACTGTTCCTATTTTGCCTTCTAGCCACAGCCCCAAGCAACACATACGCATCTCCCCATCTAGTATTATGATGAGGGATCGGTGCTGTTCCTGATCTCCGCCAATCCCACAGTTGCGTAGAGAGTTCACAATGTAAAACATGTGTTGCAGATCCTCTATCCTCATCCCAGAGCACAGGAGGAAGAGTGGGGTGGCCTTAACTGTTCGTCTTGCACGTCATTGCTCTGTGGGAACGGCCAGGTGGGCCATCAACCAAAGGAAACTTGCCTGCTTAACCACAGGCACATCCATTAGCAATGTCCAGTATCCCGAAAAAACTTTGCGAGAGCCTAGGGAGACAATCCTGAATCCAACCTGTAGACATCCATCTTTTAGCCACTACCCAATTCACATCCACCGTCTGGTGGGTGAGGCAATATCGCAGCAGCTGAATTTTGGGCATATATGAGCTTTCTTTTTTTTTCCTTTTTTTCTTTTTTTCTTTTTTTCTTTTTGGCATATATGAGCTTTCAACTATCGCAGCAGCTGAATTTTGGGCATATACGAGCTTTCTTTTTTTTTCTTCTCTTTTTTTTTTTTTTTGCATATATGAGTTTTCAACTATCGCAGCAGCTGAATTTTGGGCATATATGAGCTTTCTTTTTTTCTCCTTTTTTTTTTTGGCATATATGAGCTTTCAAGTTTCAACTATCGCAGCAGCGGAATTTTGAGGATCCGCTGCGCGTCCTCAGATGGAGGTCCTGCGCAATTAAGTTTTCAAAAAAAAAAAAAAAAAGTATGGTAAGGACTTGTGGAGGATGGCGCCACGACCGTCTTCACGCGAACAGAACGCCCCGGTCATTATCACTGTATCTAGACTGGAAGTTCCGCCTAATTCAGTTATAACGATCGGGGCATTCTATTAGGGTGAAGATCGTAGTGTGAGGATTGAGCCCTCAAGTAGGGGCCTTGCCATGATGTACATGTTCTGGGCTAAGGCCCCAGCAAGCCTCGTGCCCGCCCTAAGTGAAGGCGGGCCAGCAAATCAACAAGAGCCCTCTGTGCCAACATTTCAC